GCGAACAGGTACACTGTGCGCGAATGTTCCTTATATCCAAGGTCTGTATCATCATTCTCGTTTGACGTCCTTGGTATTGACGCCACTTCATTTTTCGACAGATGGCCTGGCCGTGCTACCCCTTAAGATGTCAAGCTCTCAAAGTCCAGTCCAGTTTGAGTGTTGAGCGTTTTCCGAGTAGATCTTTTCAGTAATCTTAGAACGGAAAAGTAGAAAGTAAATTGCTTCAGCCTGTATCTCGTTGGTTTGTTGGTTGTCGTATTTTGTTAGTTTGCTGGTTTATCAAGTGTCGTCCCAATGCAATCCAATAATTTAATAGAAAGAAAGAAAGTACAGTAAATAAAGCTATGTATTCATTCATTCCAAAGCACACCCATACACCTCTTTCGCCACCCTCCTCCAATTCTCCCTATCAATTGCAAATGCCTCTGCATAGTCCACCTCGAGATGATGCAGTCTCTTGCCTGCAATAACCAGACTGTGCAGGGGTTCCCCGAATTTCTCTGGGGGCAGTCGAGGAGTTCTTGTAGAGTACCAGCGACGATACGCTCGTTTTCGGGTCCGCCGCCGACGCGGGAGAGGGCAATGGCGAGTGTATTGCTGGGGTTGAGGATGCCTTCGTTTCGTGCGATTCGGTGTAGATAAGTTGGGAGACAGCGGTGGGGATGGACATGTATCGTGGTGGTTCGTATATCTTGCGACCTCTGCGATTCAATCAAGACCACATGTTATTTAAAGATCAAATGAAATCATTTGCTTACCTAGCTAGATTCTCCTCACTCTGCTCTTTGACTTTGATGTCCAGAAGTACGAGCGTGTGCATTCCTAGGCTGACGTTTTCTTTAATCCTGTCGTAAAAACTGTCGGGTTTCCATGTGTCGGTGAAGAACACCAATGAGACGGTTTGGCCGAAATTGTAGAGCTGGAGACCGCAGGCGCCCATGGCGTTCATGATGGATGCGTTGTGGATTATCCGGGTGGGGATGCGGAGGGAGCGGGCTCGGAGGAGGATGTCGGTGTGGGTCGTTGCTCTGCATGGTTCAGAGGGGCAGGGTACAAATTCAGACGAGGGACGCGGATCAAATTTTAGGAAAGAAAGGACGGGATGGACGCGCACCCAAATGGATCGCCGACGACGAGAAGAGAGACATCTTCGGTATCAGCATTGTGTAATATCTCATCGCTCTGGGTCTCCACCATATCACGATCGGCGAGAATGACGGGCTTTTCATAGAACGCTTCCTGATAGGGTGTGATTTAATTTGGGGTCGGATGGGGAAAGAGGGAGGGTGAGTCGGGTTTGACGGGAGGTGTGGACGCACCAGACGGTCTTTGTCTATCATCAAGATGCTGGTGTAGGCTTCGAGATAGACGCGTGACGATGACTTGATGGCCTGGTGCGCAAACAGAAACAGCATATGTCAGTCAGATGGCAGCAAAGATTCGGGCTGAGCGGACAAAGGGTCTGGAGTAGATGCAGATGCTCACCTGCAGCCCGCGAAGGGTAATGTCCTGTTCATCTGAGAGCCCCAGTCCGATGATATACAGCATTTGTCCTGCAGGCTGAGCGCGCAATTCGCGTAGATGGTGATGAGAAGATGCTGATAGTCAACTTTCCTTCCCCTCAGCATCAGCGCTATATATAGCACACCTGGCCGGATCACCTTCAATCTCGGTTTGCTCGGTGAACGCTTTTGGTCGCAGCCCTCTTCGTTGTGCCCTTCAGAAATCAACAGGCGTTTATAAAGCTCCTGATATCTCCTGTGCAAATGTGCGTTTCCTTTCCTCCCCTTGCTTCATGTCGCATGTCCCCTTTGCGAGCTCATCGTAATCACTTCAGGGCGCCCTTCCAGGATTTGCCGCTCGATATCCTGCATCCCATCCTCTCTCAGCTGTCGGATCGAAAGGACTGGCATGCGTGCACCCTCGTGAGCAAGGCGTTCTCCAGGGTTTCCACCCCGTTCTTGTATAGGACTTTAGATTCCAGGATTATTTCAAAAGTGAGTCGTCTACTGACTGCACGAGACAGTGATGGGCAGATGGCTACAGCTGTGGGATTTGGGCTGCTCATTGTCTCCCACAGTAGTACATTTACATTGAGCAGTGCAGGAATATTGACTGTGTCGTTTACAGACGTTGGTACACCATCCGAGTACGACTCTCCTACGACGACCCGACCTCGCCCTCCACGTCCGTCGAGTCACAGAAACAGGTAAGCAGCCTTATTCCCCATCGGATTTTTATCACAATCTCCTTGTCAAACGCGCCACTTTTCTACCGAAGTTTTTCGAATTTTCCTTTTTCTTCTCTCTGACGGAGATTTCTCTATTGCATAATCTCAAGTATACGCACGTCGTGCCCTTCCGGTGGTGCAATGCAATCGTAATTCGGATGCGTTTGTAATTCCTGCTGGACGGTCGATTTCCTCCGACAGAAAAGGCCACGCTGAAATCGCTTTCTTTCTCATCCCCTGCTAAATTGCCAAGCCCATTGGCCACTTCCGCTTTGCCCTCTGAAGCCATCTGACCTCAATAACTGACGTCATGCCCCTTTATACAGGCGCCATTCACCGGGGCATGCTTGTGCGCTACCCGAACATCACAAAAGACACCCTCGCCGCGCTCGCTCTCTGCGCGAACCTCTCCTCGCTCACCTGGATCGATGACACGTCCTCCACCCACGCCACGCTCCTCCTCTCCTTCCTCGACGTCATCCGCGCGCTTCCCGTCCGCGAGCTCACCATCCGCACGCACAGCGATCTCGGGGAAGACGTATGGTCCCAGCTCATCACCCTCACCGGCCTGCGCAAGGTATCCATCTGGTGCATGGAAGGCCCGCCCCGAGTACTCCAAGGCTGGTCGGAGCCACTAGGCAGCACCCTAACCCATCTAGAGCTGGGAGTCAGTGCATTTTTGTATCCTTGTTCGGAACGTACGTGTTAATTCCTTTTGGTTGGTGAAATTCCACATTTCTTTAGAGATGTGCTGGCGTGCCACCGACTATACTCATCACAGTGCTCTCGCAACTTCCTCTCTTGAAGGATCTCAGGCTCAAGGGCGCCCCGGCGAGTTCGATACCGACGATTTTGACCTACCTCCCGAATTTGCAGAGTTTGGATACGGAGTACCTCCTCTCGGGGTCGGGGGCGTATTATAGCAGTAAACGGCCGGCGTTTAGGTATACCAAGCATAATAAGCATGTCGATGAGCTTCTCGCAGACTATGACGATGAAGAAGACGAGTTTGAATCGGAAGAGGAAGAAGAATCGCTGCTGCCCATCCTACGCTCGCTCACCGTGCGCACGAGTTCCATGGACAACTTTGGCCCGCAGAAGCTCTGGGGATGGATTCAGGACCTCGTGCCCCGCCCTGGCCTCGAAAAGTTCAAATTGCACGCGTTCACGTTTAATATGGGTTACACGGGTATTCCGAGGATGTTCATTCTGGAGCTGGCGAGGATGCACGGAAGGACGTTGAAAGAGTTCGTAGTTGGCGAGGCGCATTTGACCCTGGGCGATGTGGAGTGCTTGTGTTCCATGTTTGGAGGGTTGGAGATGCTCGTTTGTTCAGTCGCGTCGCCGGATGTAGTATGTGGATTTTACACTTCCTTTCCCTTCCGTGGGGTTTCATTCTAAAGCCATGTTTTTTTTTCCTCTGCTAGGACTCGATCATAAACGCCATCTCACCCGCCAAGAACCTCCAGACGCTCAAACTCCAAGTTCAATGGATACCCGCCGCCGCCGCCGCCGCTGGCTCAGAAGCGACTGCCAGCATGTCGATGTACGACCAACACGACTATCATGACCCCTATGTGCGATCCTCTTATGCGTACAGGCATACACAAACACCCACGAACGACCGGAGCCAGTTCTATTCCAACCGATATAATCTTTACAGTCCTAGTTTGTGGAAGAGTGGAAGCGACAAGGACAAGACGGAGATGTTTGGTATGGAAGACGCGAGAAGGATGATGCGGAGGAGTGAGGAGAGTCGGTTGAGGGTTATTTCGATTGGACATGTGCAGTATACTGTGAGTTTATGATTTGTTCGTTCGTTTGTTTGTTATTGATGCTTGGGAATGGTTATTTAGGGGAAGTGGGTTTTGGAGCAGGAAAGTAGCGATGTCGATAACCAGGGGCACGACCATCCCGACCATCCGGACAGCCAACAGAAGGTGGACGGACATGAAGAAAAAGAACCTTTGCCGACGCAGGGCATCAAGGATGGGAAGAACGAGTCGAGGTTGAAGTTTGTCGTTTCTGCTGATGTGGCTGAGGATAGGTGGAAGACATGATATGATACTAAATAAGATCCATATTTATTTTATCAAGATACCTCCTGCATTTCTTTCGGTTTTAATTTTGTGATTTTGGTTTGGCTTTTTATTTTAACCTTCGACTTCGACTTGTCCCTGGTAGGGATGTTGGATAGGAAGGAGTTATTTGCAGTTGCATCGTTATCATGTGCCATTCCCTGTTTTCGTTATTCCACCACTTTCTGCAATTTAAGAAGGATGGATATCCGATTGCATACATATCACTAATCCACAGTCCATATAAAAGGAAACATGATTGACGTTTTTGGACTGGTGTTGGCAAGTGTTGGTGTTTGTGCCTGTGTCGCATTGCGCCGTAATTCTTTTCCTTCCTTTTTTTTTTGGAAGATCTAGTCGAAGCTGGGTAGTCTCTTTTTTGAGCTGTGGTTGTTCATTTCCTTGATTTCCGGGTTCAGGACCGTTTCTGATGGATATTCGCGATGGTTTGTATGGGATTTGGAAAATGGCGCACTTGAAAAAAAAGCCACTGGGCCTGCACGTGATCTTTAAAATTTTAGGTTCCAAAAGAATTTTGGTCTATGTGGCGTTTTTTTGGAGCCAATGCCATGTTTTATTCCTTTTACAACTTGGAGTTCACTTGAGGTCAACCTAAAGTACTTATGGACCAGGATCTTTCCTTTCCGACTCACATTCTTAACATGGACATGTCCACTCTAACTTCCACAGCCCGCCTAGCTCAATCGGATAGAGCGTCAGACTCTTACTAGAGGCGGGTTATATGTTACCAAGCTTACCCTGGTATCTGAAGGCTGCGAGTTCGACCCTCGCGGTGGGCTATGGAGACGCATATATAAAGGCTACTATTTTTTTGAAGAATATTTTAAGTGATATTTAGAATAGGCTTTTTCTCCATTTGTTGGACTCCTGTCAGAAGCTTTAATGTACGGTGGATTATTTATGTTCCTTGTACAATTGTGTTACTGGACTTGATGGAAACCTCAGCGAAAGGAGGTTTTTTTTCGCCCTCGAATCTAGACCGATAAACAAGCTGAGGCCGTTGACCCCCGATCCAAATAAAGCCGGAACCAAATGCTGGACGTGTCCAGACTCGCCTCTCGGAGGCTCTTGTGATCATCTTTCTAACTTCCTTCGCATCTCCTCCTTCTTCAAACCCTTCCAATATGTTATCCAGGTTCGCAAAATCGCTTATACTCGTCATATTCGCGATGGTGAGGATCCTTTCTTCTGTGGACAACCGTCTTGCTCACATGTTTGCTTGGGGATGTCGTCTGATCAGTTCATGCTCACCATGATCGCCTTGGTCCATCCTCCTTCGAGGTCGTACATCGACCCGTGGACCGGGCAGCTGTTTGGGGAAGGAGGGGTGGAAAAGATGTTTAATTCAAAGGCGGGGCAGCAGAAGGAGATCAAAGGTGTTGAAGGGGGTGTTATTATGGGCAAGTTGGGGAATGCCACAGTGAAGTATGTTTGCGTTTGCGGGCGGTTACTCAATATCTGGGCGCTGACCCGCCTACCATGCTGTTGCTTTACAGGGCTGCTCTTGGCCGTGCTACCTGGAAATTATTGCAAGTACACATGTTTCCATCATTCTAGCAGTATACTGATGAACGAATACAACGTCATACAGACATACCATGACCTTACGATATCCTGAAGTTTGTTGCGTGCCCTTCTTGACGAGAACATATTGATTTATTGATTTAACTATCTTTATTCAGAAACCTACAGCAGATGAACGAGGAGCCCTCGAATCTTATTTCTACCTGAGTTCAAGGTTATACCCTTGTGGCGAATGCGCTGCTGATTTCCAAAAATTGTTGAAGAAATACCCACCTCAGGTGCGTTGGGCCTACCAGCTACCGAATTTCAACTTATATTTTACTTTCTCCTCATATCAGACTTCTTCTCGAAAGACTGCCTCTTTATGGTACCCGATCCCCTTCTTCCTTTTGATTTTGAACTTGCTGTTGAATCTTGCTTTATGGTTTTAGGCTATGCGGGGTTCATAATGAAGTGAACAAGCGATTAAGGAAAGCAGAATTTGACTGTGCGCATCTGAGCGACGAATATGACTGTGGATGCGGTGATGAGCCTGTTTCTGAAAAACCTGCTGCTCCAGCCGCTGCAGTTCCCCATACTGGTGATGAAAACTTCTCCCGATGGATCTCGAAGATGATTTCGGTCTGGATAGGTTGACGGGCGCTGATATGATTCGAGGAGGAAGATGACCACTTTTTTACTGTGCATTCTGTTGTTGTTGCTCCTTATGCAGGCTTTCATGGTACACTATTTATTGGGTTGGAATTGGAATCCTTATTGCATGATGTACTAGTATAGTGAATACACATTGACATTGACATTATTTGCTTTTGGATATGCTTTCTTGTGTACTTACCGCGAGAGCGGGGACAAATATGCCGTAGCGTTGAACATCGACGACCACCACTGCTTTTCCCTTCCCAAGGTTCTATTTTAGCAACGACGTGTTCCTCACCGGCCGTACTCCGATGCCTTCCAAGGCTCGTTTATCCCAGGCATATCCATACTTTACGTTCATACGGGGTACTATGCCGTCCAACCCGTGCTGCTGATTATTATCTATCTGGGTCATATATCAATGGGCTCCATTTACCCTCTTTTGGCAGAGGTTAGAGCTCCTTGCAAGTTGCCTCCCTCATCGCTATCTTATTCTATTTCGTTCGTACACCAGGATTGAGGTTGACTGCTATAACGCAACGACTATTCCATACCCGTACCATGGCATCTGCTGCAACAGAGTCTATAGATCATGAAACATACACAGTCCGCGGTACGTAGGAAGGTCTCCCCACGTCATGTCATGTCCCTTCTTTTTTATCTCGTCGCAAGTATTTTTTGGGCGTTGAACCCGACCGAGCATGATGCCGCGGCGCGCGGCGCGCCTGCTTCGCGACGACGCTCGGTTACCGGGGGAATCAACTTCCATGGATGATGACACGCCAAAACCAATTTCACAACTTCCAGTTCGAAACTGATCATGAACCATGACATGTAGCGCAGAACTGACAACTCTTCTGCGAACAGATGGGTTGAAAGTCATTGAACGATTCTTCTCTGTCCCGCTTGATTATTCGAATCCTGAAGGACAGAAAATACGCGTGTTTGCGAGGCATGTTATACCCCGAGACAAAGCGGAGAAGCCGGAGGATGAAGCCAAGTTGCCATTTTGTATGTGCCCCTTTCCTTTTCGTCGTCGTTCTCAAATATCTTATTTGGTTCATAATAATAGTGCTATTTCTTCAAGGTACGCGATATCTGAGGCCCTTCTTATCATATATTACGACGCCTAAATGAAAACAGGAGGACCTGGGTTTGAACTTAGTCAAAGAGTTCCATCGAGTTCTGGCTTTCCTGGAGAAGTGAGTGTGATCTGCTGCTCTGAAAGACATCCATTGACGTGTCATTATCATCCTTCAGCTGTATACCAAGGGTTATCAAGTAGGCACCGGTTTACTCAGCCGAGCTCGACTCCCACGGCGTGGTACTGAGCCTTTTCCCTTCTTCTGTAGGTAATATGGTTGGATCAAAGAGGAACAGGCCTCAGTACACCGCTGTCCCCCGAATCCCTCCCAGACAACGTTAAAACGGATGAAGATATCGCTCAATACCTGAAGCACTTCCGGGCTGACAGCATTGGTATGTCATTTCAACCAAACCCGCTGTCCTCCATTCCAAATCTCTCCAACCTTGATGATGCGCCATGACAGTCAAGGACGCCGAATTTATCCGCAAGTCTCTCTTGGGTAACAAAGAAAAGCCTGAAGACCGGAAATGGACGTTGGCGGGTCAGAGCTTCGGTGGATTCTGCGTCATCACCTACTTGTCCTTCTTTCCTGAGGGTGTCAAGGAGGCCTTCATCACGGGTGGTTTGGCTCCTTTGGTGGATCAGCCGGATGTGGTGTATGAAGCTCTTGCTCGTGAGTCTACTTCTATGCTGCAGTAATTGAGGCATATTAAAGAAATCAACGTGCAGAACAGGTGATTAAACGCAATGAGATTTATTATAAGAAGTATCCTCAGGATATCAGGCGTGTATGTCATGGCATATCCAATCTGAAGACCTGCAGTTCAAATAATGCTTTCAGGTCAGAAACATCCTCGCTCACCTGGAGTCAAAACCTGTTGCTTTGCCCAATGGCGGCCGCTTGACCCCAAACCGCTTTTTACAGTTGGGTACTGCCTTTGGAGCGCATGGTGGAATTGACGCGATCCATCGTAAGTATCCTAATCTGAATGTTTGCGCTCATAATTCTAATGGAAGCTGTGTAGAGATTGTATTTCGTGCTTCGAATGACCTCGTACTAATGGATAAGCTATCTTACAAGACACTGCAGAATATCGAGAATCAGCAGCCGTTCGATGGAAATCCGTTATACGCCATCCTTCATGAACCACTCTATTGTCAAGGGTGCGTGGAGTTGCATATCGGCTGCTTGCTATCGTTATTGATGTGCCTTCCTTACTCCAGGAAGGCGGCTGATTGGTCTGCCGCTCGTACAATTCAGAAGTACGCGGAATTTTCATGGCAGAAAATGAAGGCTCAAGCTGGCACACTGCCTGTCTACTTCACTGGAGAAATGGTATCACGCTTCTCGAATTGCTTGTTCTGAATGAATTTGACCTTTTTTGCAGATTTTTCCAGATATGTTTGACGACTATGTCAATCTACGTCCTTGGAAAGGTGCTGCAGAGATTCTCGCTAAGGACACGTCTTGGGCACACATCTATGACCTTGACCAACTGGCGAAGAACGAAGTCAAGGTTTCTGCAGCGACGTATGTTATACGTTTCCGAACCCTGTAGTCAAGCTGGCACTGAAAAGTCTGTATGTCCTTTAGGTATTTCAACGATATGTACGTCGACTTCGGCTTTGCCCAGCAGACTGCTTCGAAGATCAAGAACACGGAACAATACATCACCAATCAGCTCGTGCACGACGGCATTGCGGAGGATCCTGGAGATGTCATGAAGAAGCTTTTCAAGCTTTCGAAACGTGAATTTAACTGATGCAGGTAGAATTTGACTACTTTTTGATAACATGTTTTCGTCCACCCAACGTCCGCCCGGTAGTTTATTTAGTGTTGGTACGTCATGTTATCTCTCTTTCTCCCTCCGAAGTATTTACGTGGTATGTCTCGAAGGTTTTCGTTCGTTCTGTCTAGATTTTCTGTCCATATTATCATCCGGTCAATATAGCCCTCATGAGAACATAGCTCTTGTAGCCGACCGGAATATCATCCTCAGTCTGGTTCCGAGACAGCTCTCATCCCATGACTCTGGTCACTTTCCATGATTTTTGCACTTTCAGCTGTTTGGTTTACACAAATTTGAGAGGTTTGCTTTTGATGGCTAGGCAGCCTGTCAGATTTCTCTTTAACTTCGGTATAATATCTTTTATGCACGTCCCAGTCAGTCCGAAATCATTGCGTTCTTGGTGTGCAGGTCTGTCGGACCTTTTCCTGCTTGCATATAAATAAATGCAGGCCTTGTTCAGAGGCAAAGAATAAACTTACGTCTTCTTGTAAGTCATTCTCTCGAACAATACTCTTAAATACTGAATCTTCTCTCCTAGTGCTACACTTGAGAATGAAAGTATTTGGGTTCGCCGTCATCGTCTCAGCTTTATCGCTCTTCGCACCTCTTGTAGCTGCCCTCCCATCTCAGTCGGATTGGGTTTGTGGAAACCAGTGCCTACCGGACCCGATCCCTTGCGCGTCTGCAGCAAAACTTGGTGGAGGTCCGGGATGCTATTATTGTTGCATTCAGGAAAGCAAGA